TAAATTACAACATAGAATTATACTGGTGTCCGCACGCTAGCATCATGTGAACATAACGTGGTTACCCCGCAGTAGCTGAAAGCACTCCGCGCAAAGAAAACAGAAAGTTTCAGTCTATGCCTATAAATCCTCAATAAACTAATCTATAGCGAGTAAATACAATAATTGCTAAGGATATTAAAAAGTTGAGCAATCAAATACATCCAATTTTACAAAGCGCTAAAGGAAGCAGTTTTTTTCCTAAACAATTTGTCGATCCTCTAGCTTAAGTCGACAGAAGCTGCATGCAAGATATTCTGCTGGGCATTATTACTATCATTATTATTATTATTATTCAAAGTAGGTTAATGCTAAGTGGCACGCTAGGTTGTATGTTTTTTCAGGACCCATGTCGTGCTGCCGACGCGTGACAGAACCTACCAATGAATGCGGTGACAGTCATTGTCTAGACAAAGCAGAGCCTTGCGTGATATAGTGTTGAAACCGATCCAACGACGACCCTTTAATACCTGCAACCTTCATAACGCCCATGTCATCGTCGTAGCGCAGAGTACCTTTACCTGTTTCGAGTGAGTTCATTGGTCTGAGCAGTTAGTGACCACTATTTTTGCAATTGCCATTTTCTATTAACTTTATAATCAGCGGACACTTTGTAGAGTATTGTGTTTATTTCTTGTAGCTAAAATTTACCAAGATGTTCACCTTCGCATTCATTCATCTGTTGGCCATGGGCGTTTTACTGCAAGGTAAGGCATCTGGGCCATTGCTTTTTAACTGCCCTGTTGCATTGCATTGAAGGAATTTTGAACCACATCGGTCAATTTCGCCAAATCGGGTTACAAAGATCCTGCGAAAATTATGTCTCCATGTTTATATATAGATAAGACAATGGAAGCAACGCCTACTGCGAGAGATGGGCGACTGGCTGTGGATAAAGGCCCGAACGATAATGAAAGCAGGGATGGTGGTCAGGGCACTGATGGTCAGGGCACTGATGGTCTCACCAATAATACGATGCCAGAAGGTGCCGATGGCAGTATCATTAAGGTCGACGACCTAAATTCGGAGGACAATGGTGCTTCCATCCCTGGTACAGTGCCAACAGCTGCAGGCGGTAATGGTACCAATCCCGACGACCCAAGTATGCAGGACACTGGTGATTCCACGACTGGAACAACGCCAACATGTGCAGGCGTTAATGGCGGCAATCCCGATGGCCCGAATGGGCAGGACAATGATGGTTCCACGACTGGTACAAAGCCAACGGATGCAGGCGGTAATAACGACAACGCCGACGGTCCGAATGGATGGGACAAAGGTGGTATAACAGTAACAGGTGCAGATGGTAATGGTGGCAATCCCGACAGTCCGAATGGGCTGGACAATGTTAGTACGACGCCAGCAGAATCAGACGGCAATCCCGACGGCACGAAAGGGCTGGACAATGATGGTTTCACGACTGGTACAACGCCGGCAGTTGCTGGCAGCAGTGGCAACGACACGGACAACCAAGGTGGACAGGGTAGTAGCAGTTCCAGCACTGGTACAACGCCCACAGATGCAGGCGGCAATAGCACTGAAACCCCACCAGCATCTGATAATCACACCGACAGGGAACATGAGGCTGATCGTGATGATGAATATGACGAGGACGATGCTGTTACGAACATAATGCACCCTGGCGTTTCCGCGGCTGCAATGCTACTTGCCTTCATCCTTCGAATCAATTAGTCTCACGGGTATATTTCCAAAATATAACAATTTTGAATAATTGGGGTTGCATTCTTTTGTTAACCGACACCTTTATACATTAAGTAACACTGTCTGATTGACTGTGTTCCGAGGCGTTATATCAGTTGGCGTGAAAAAGTCTGTACGGCCAACAAAACCTTGTAAAATGCTTTTTTTTCGTAGGATTAGGCTACCTTTACAATAGATTTTGGGTTTTGTCGTGCAAATGTTGGGCAAACGTAGAGGCAGGAGATAGTATGCGAGCATTATAGTAGTGCAAGTCACAGATTCGAGGTTGTGGGCGCGTCCTACTTAAGAAAGGCGGTGAGATTGCCCAACACTCAGTAAGAAGGTTTTCTGTGTCGGGTTCATCCGACCCCCAACGCAGTCAACAATGAACAAAAAAAGCTGTTCACGAATAAAAGCAAATATGCGTGCCCCATGGTCTTGTTATAAAGAAGAAGAAGACGCGATCTCTGGACCGGCAATTTTACTGTTCTGAGCTTTTGGCTGCACACGAGAAGCCACCTTCAGATAAAATGAGAAAGCAACAAACGTTGGCTTTCCCTACTTTTCGCCACATGTGTCATAAGCCGTTTTTCACCGTTTTGGTTTGAACCAAAAGGAACGCATGAGTGCCGTTATCAGGGGGAGCACCGCATTCTTTAGACCATGGCGGCAGCAATCCGGTACCATCATAGAAAGCGATGCACCTCCTGCAGCTATAAGTTCCATTCATGACTTCAATCAGTTCCCAGTGAACGATGATTGGATTTTGGAAGTCACCGCTATGCCTCTTGAGTCTATGATGGGCGGTATCTGCAAATCCCCCAGACATATACTACGCATATGCCTAATGACGCCTCGCTTTAACACATTCACGGTTGTCAAGAAGATGTCTTTTCGGTAGAGATTGATTTTATGGTCCCTTACGGGAAAGGTTTATCGCAGTAGGTTAAGTTAATAAGGAAGGCACTTCCTGCGATCTTTAGGCCAGATCCCATGTGGGAAGAGAAGTGGTTTGCCAGGTGGAAGGGGTAGTGTATTTTGTACAGAGATTGTGGAGAGTAAGTTGGAGGAATTTGGCTGTCGGGCGAGCGTGCATCCACTGCTGGGAGGGACAGCATCCAAAGTGTGTAAGCGTGGCAGTCCTCGTATTGAGCTCCTGTGTGAGTCATCTTCATCGAGGTGATTGGCCAGACCGGATTGAAAAAGGCACTTGCTGACCAACGTGCGACGTCGGGGGTAGGCGCAATTTGTTCTCCTGTGTTTGTCTGTCCCAGAGGTGGACCGTGCGTGGTGTAGCGCCAAAGGTGGAAGCCGCTACAGGGTTTTAGTGGCTATATAACACCTTTTCCTATAGCTAGACGCCACAGCCGAGTTCAGATGATCGCAGTGTTGGTCAACCGGCCATGTGCGACGTGCGATTTTGCCCTCGCGA